ACATTATAACAGATAAGAGAGAAGAGATTGAGGTTGTTCATAGTTAAAGCTTCTGGACTACACAGTCAACACTCTTGATACCAGCAGTCAGAAAATAAAAAGATTAATTTCATTAGGTAAATCTGTTGTCAGGGACCTCTCAGAGTACTGAGAAGCAATGATGTCAGTCTAGAGACTAAGGTTCACCTGATCCAGGCCATTACCTTTGTAATTACTCACTATGCATCAGAGAGCTATACAGTGACTAAGGATGACAGAAGAATTGACGCCTTTGAGTTGTGGTGCTGGAGAAGAGTCTTGAACATACCATGGACCACTAAGAAGACAATTAGGTGTGTCTTGGAGAGGATGAAGCCAGGTTTCTCCTTGGAAGCTAGGATTTTGAAGCTCTGTCTCACAGACTTTGGGCACATGGCCAGGAGAGACTAGTCCTTGGAAAAGGATTGATACACTAACTGGGGCAGTAGGTGTTGGTGTGTTGACATCAGTGGGACTGGCTCAGGATAGGGCAAGCTTCAGAGCTAGTGTACAGAGGTGTACATAGGGTTACTATGAGTCACTGGCAACTTGATGGAACATAACAACATAACAAATAAGAATCTCTGGTGGCTTAGTGGTGAGGAGTTGTACTATCAAACAGAAGGCACTAGGTTCTTATCTGCCAGCTGCTCCGAAGGAGAATGATGAGCACTCTCTTCTCCTGTGCAGTTATCTCCATCTGAAACTAGAGAGTTAGCTATGAGTCCATTAAGACTCAGCGGTACATGACAGCTACAGGATAACAAACCATTAGGCGCAATTCCATATTCTAGGGGCCCAGTTTCTTCTCAGAGTGAGAAAGCACTTGAAAATAGGAATAAAAAAACCTAACGAACCCTTCAGTACATTTTAACATCGTCTTTTTCCATTTTTAGGTCTTGTTTTGGTTTAGCAGGTCAAGCGAATTAAGCCATCATTGGTTTTCCCAAACAAATTTGTGCATTAGCTAGCTTCCTTTAAAAACTGCTGCCTTTTCTTTTGGACGTCCCCTAAAAGTTTGTCATTTCTTGCAGTCTTCTTGCATCTGGCAGATAGAAACATTAATTTGATCTGTTTCTGAGAAAAAAAATTAACCTATCTCCCAAAAAATATATTCTTGGACATGCTTAGTTAAATTCTTTACATAAATCGTACAGTTTGGTTCCCTAGGTTTATAACTCCTGAAAATATAAAGTGTTTCCATTTCTTTTCTAGAGATTTTGTTCTTTTAAAAATTCTTTTCTAAAAATAAATTCTAAAGGCATTTAATCACAATTTTCTTTAATATCCTTTATGATGTTTAGATTAAGTATTGGGAGGATTTTTTTTTCTCAAACTCTTATTTTTAGATACATCAACTTAAGTAAATTTTCATTTTCTTCCTCCTCTAAGTCTCTCTTAACTGTTGCTAGTATGGCAGATGGATTTCAGTTTCTTAGGTTTTTGTTTGTTTTTATTACCTACAGGTTGTGATTGGTGACATGCTTCTAAATATAACAACACTGGATGTAAATCACTGTGTAAAAGAAATGAACATGCATCTAACATATGCTTTTTGTTTTCTTTTTAATACGTTCAGCATCCATTTGAGACATGTTGTTGAAAGGAAAGGTAAACTCATGGTTTGGTGCTATTCCATTTTCTGTTGTTAAGCCACCAAGGAAGGTTTTTCTTTTCTTTGCAATCTTCCCATAGTGTTATCAGATCCTTATCCCCATCCCCTTCTCCAGGATTTAAAGGAGATGTAGAGTTGCCTGCACTTGTTCTTTTGCAAATTCAACAACTAAAGTATGACCTAAATGTTCCAGCTCATGGAGTCTTTCAGTGCCTTTATAGCTGCTTTTTATTAAGGAAAGTAGCAAAAGCTGTATGTTTCACTTAACCTTTATCTGAAAGGACTAGAATCTACTGTGTCTCATACTTCAGCAAGTCCTTAAAGGTCAGCTTAGAAATAGATGCCATACTAGAAGAATTTACTTGCCCCACAGTGTGGCAAGGAAAGCAAAGAGAAGTTCTGGCAACCTCTTGACTTGGGCAGTGGCTGTGAGGAGGATGCCATTTTCCTAGGAACTGGGATAGCGACGCTGCATCAGGGACAGCTCAGGAAACTGTAATAGCAATGCTGTTGTTATAGGTGCTGTCCAGTTGACTATGACTCATAGCGACCCTATGAACAGAAGATCTGAACCCAGTTCTATCGTGTGCCACCCTCACACTTCCCAAGAGCCCATAAAGGTGGTCATCGTGTCAGTTCACCTAGTTGAGTGTCTTCCTCTGCTTTGCTGACCCTCCACCCTTCCCAGGATAATGTTCCTCTCCAAGTAGTAGCCCTTCCTAGCAACATGCCCAAAGTTTATGAGGCAAAGTCTCATTCTTAACTCCAAAGAACACTCCAGCTGCACTCTCTCCAAACATATCTGTTCATTCTCGTTTCTGTCCATGGAATGCACTTCTCTTAACACCACAGCTCAAAGGGATCAATTCTTCTTCTGTTATTCTTATTCATTTTCCAGCTTTCAGATGCATAGCAAGTAAGAGGAAAGACTATGGCCTAAATAAAACACACCTTAGTCCTCAAACTGACATCATTACTCCAATAAATTGGAGAGGTCCATAACTGCTTATTTTCCCTTTGCAATGTGTCTCCTGATTTCCTGACTGGTGGTACCAAGGGTGTTAATTGTGGATCCAAGCAAGATGAAGCTGTTGACAGTTTCAACCTTTTCTCCATCCATCATGATGTTGCCTATTAATCCAGTGGTAAGAATCTTTATTTACTCTACTTTGAGATGTAATCCATACTGAAGGCTGCATTCATTGACCTTCTGCAGCAAGTACTTCAAGTCCTCTTTCAGCAAGCAAGGTTGTGTCACTGCATAATACAGGTTATTGATGAGTCCTCCTCCAATCCTGATGCCATATTCCCCTTCATAGAGTCCAGCTTCTCTGATAATTTGCTCAAGTTACAGATTGAATAGGTATGGAGAAGAATATAACCCTGACACACTCAGTTTTAAACCATGCAGTCAGTGTTCCCCTACTCCATTTGCACAACAGCTTCCTGGTCAAGATCCAGGTTCCTCATAAGCACAATGAAGTGCTCTGGGATTCCCATTCTTCTCATTGTCAGCCACAGCTTGTTATGATCCACACAGTCAAATGCCTTTGCATAATCAATACAACACAAACATTCTCCTGATATTAGTTATTTTCAGTCAGGATCCATCTGACATCAGCAATGATATCCCTGGTGCTCTGGCCGCTTTTAAATCCAGCTTGAACTTCTGTCAGATCCCTATCTATGTACTGTTGTAGCTTGTTTTTTAAATGGTGATCTTCAGTAGTATTTTGCTTGCATGGAATAGTAATGCTATTGTTCAATAGTTTCCACATTCAGTTGGATCACCTTTCTTGTGAATAGGAACAAATATGGAACTCTTCCAGTCTGTTGGCCAGACAGCTGTCTTCTAAATTTCCTAGCTTAGACTGGTGAGCACATTCAAGGCTGCATCCATTAATTGATCATCTTTGGAATAGGTTTGAGGTAATTGAACACCAGTGATTGAAGACCAGATGAATTGTATGATGATATCAAGGACATCATCCATGAAGAAAGCAAAAGGGCATTACAAAAACATAGGAGAAAGAAAAAATAGGAATAGATGTCAGAAGACATTCTAAAAATTGCTCTAGAGTGTCAGAAGCCAAAACAAAAGGAAAGCATGCCTAAGTAAAAGAGCTGAACAGAAGATTTCAAAAGGGTAGTTCAGGAGGACAAAACATAGTATTATAATGGAATATGCAGAGCTGGATTGGAGAATAAAAAATTAAGAACTCACTCTGCATTTCTCAAGCTGAGAAAACTGAAAAACAAGTTTAAAAGACACTATGGGCAACATATTGAATGGCCCAGAAAGCATCAAAAGATGAATCGCCATTTCAAAAAGAACTAATCGACACTGAAAAATTTCGGGAAGTACCATATGAACAGGTGCCCATGGTAATGAAGGAGCAAGTAGAAGCTGCATTGAAGACATTGGCAAAAAATAAGGCCCCAGGAAGCAGTGGGATACCAATTGGCTTGTTGCAATTAACAGCAACAATAGCAAAGTTGAAATAAAAATATTTGAGTCTTTGTATGCTTCCTGCTTCACAGAGTGTTTATGGAAATTTAGGCTGTTTTGTTAATGTTTTAGGAACTTTATTTTTAGCCAGTGGTTAATTTATATGGCAAATAAATATGGTACATAATTGAAATTAGTAGTCATAAATAAGAATGTGTTAGATTTTAAACAGAATAAATGTGTTTGTATAAATAATTAAAGTGTGTTGGAAATTTAGTTAGATAAGAACATAGGCTTTTTAAACTTTACTAAACAAATACTTGCTAAACATATTTTGTGCTGATAACAAAACTTTTTTCTGTTTCATAGGTTTGGACAGATAATTGTACTTAAAATATGCAAAAACCTAAGAACAATCAACTGGAGCTTAGGACATTTTTTTTTAACAAATCTGTGATTTTATTTGCTTTTCAGTTAAGTTTAAATCCTTGAGGGATACAGCATTACATGGATTCTGTGTCCAATGACCTTAGCAGGAAGGTTGCTCTGAAACTAGGCCCGAAGCATGCCACTGTTTCCATGGGCACAAGTTCCCTTTCCCCAGATTATTCTGGTTTTCTTGGGTTTGCCACCAGGAGTCACTGTATTATTTTTTGCTTTGTAAGCATAAGCATATCTCTTGCCTAAATAGGATTCCATTTCATCTCGGGCATAAACGCCTTCAATTTTAAGAAGAGCTGTGTGCTCCCTTTGGTTCCGTAGACCTCGTTTATAGCCAGCAAAAGTGGCTTTGCACCAAAGCCTCCCAGCCATCTTTGTGGTTTAGAAGTCCTGCTTCCAGGAGGCCTTCACGGCCTCCAAATGGCCAACATTGTGCTTAATGCTTACTAAAAAGCACTATCCTTTTTAATTTCCTTTAGGATGGGAAGTAACACATCATCACCTTGGGGGAAATCAGCATCTACACCTGTAAACCAGATCCAGGTAAGTGCTGTGGGAGACAAGGAGAAAAATTGCTTTGGGGAAAAAATTGTGTCTTTTGTAATCAGTACATTTATTCAGTTCCCAAATTTATCATCTCCATAGTTCAGTGAATGAATTACTAGTGTAGCATACTTTTTAAAAAATCTCCTTTGAAATAATTTATACAAAACACCATCAGTCATTTTGGTAATCAAAAATCTATAAACTCTTCTGGAGTCCCTTGATGGAGTCTTGTCTTTGTAAGTCAAATGAAAGAACTTGACTATTCCTTTGATGATTCCTACTTCAAATCTTGTGTCATTTGACAGGCCTGGGAAAACTGAGAACTCACCGATATCTCTAACAACAATAAGTAACAGAGTCAGGAATCAAAATTCCAGGCCTCCTCTCTCCACCTAGCCAGAATGTCTGTACTCTTCACCATAAGAATCACCTAAGCTAAATAATTTTAAAGATAATTTCAAGTCATAGAACTATAGACTCAGAGATGAATTACAGAGAAAAGAATTAAGAATTGATGCCTTTGAGCTGTGGTGTTGAAGAAGAGTACTGACTGCCCTGGCCTGCCAAAAGAACAAATAGTTCTTGGAGAAAGTACAGCAGAATACACCTTGGAGGCAAAGATTCTAATGCTTTATCTCATATACTTCAGACAGGAGAGGCTATTCCTTGGAGAAGGGCATCATGCTTGGAAAGGTGGAGCCTCGGTGAAAGAGGTCAGACCCTCAAACAGATTGACACAGTGATTGCTACAATGGGCTCAGATGTTTCAGGAGTTGTAAGGATGGCACAGGATTCAGATCTCTTGTACATAATGTTGCCATGGGTCATACTTGACTCGAGAGCACCTAACAACAACTTCAAATCTATAGCTGACACCAGACAAACGGCCTTTGGACAGAGACACTATCTGATTATCTCCTGGACCCCCGCCACCCCCTCAACATCGAGTCTGACACATAATAAACTAAACCTATTGCCATCATTTTGATTCTAACTCATTGTAAGCAGAACTTCTCATAGAGTTTCTTGGCTATAAGTTTTATACAAAGGAACTCTGATTGTGTAGGGCATAACGTATTAGGCTATTTGAATCTGGCAGGCATTGGAAGAAGATAGGCAAAGATCTGTAGCCTTGGAAACCTGATAAAAGATCATTGTGAGTCACAGCTGAGGGTTTGAGTTTGGGTTCAATTTTGTAGAAGCAGAATGCTAAAAATTTCTTTCATGGCACTACAAGGTGAATCCCAACTAGCAACCTTTAAGTTAGTAGATGAACACCAAACTGTCAGCAGTGCTCAAAGAAATGCAAACCTATTATACCCAGTATGTAGTAAGTGCTCCATAAAGGCACCTTGGTGGGTTTTTTCCACCCCCTCTCTTTAATTGCACTACTCAGTTAATTGTGCCTCAGAAAATGTCTTCGTCTTTTTTGCTTTGCAATCTACAAGTCATACCCACTTTTTGCCTGTGGGAAAATATATCCTCAGTTCATTTGGATTGAGAAGTACAGATGATTAAGGCTTCTGTTTGAACTCTGTACCTTCAGACTTTCAAGAATATACCCATCTACTTGATCATGCTGTTTCTTTTCAGAAGGTAGTGCCTGTAATGAAAGTGATTTTCTTGCTTGTCCATTCATTTCAGGAAACAATTTCAGATAATTGTGTGGTGATTTTCTCAAAAACATCTTGTTCTTATTGTAAAATGGCAAAAAAGCTCTTCCATGACATAAACATTAACTATAAGGCAGTGGAATTGGACATGATAGAATATGGAAACCAGTTTCAAGATGCTCTTTTCAAAATGACGGGTGAAAGAACTGTAAGTATATTCTCTGTGATGTGGATTCCCCTGAAATAGGTGGACATGGGTCATTCAGAATTAAGACCTGCATATTAGGAAGTATGAGGTGAACAATCTGTAAGGAGTTTATATTTATAGCAAAACACTAGATCTTGAAAAAAATGAGTAGAAAAGAGCAGAGCTAATGAATTATAGAGTTTTACTATGTGTTGGGGAAGAGGTGTTGGGAGGAATAGCTAATGGTAGTATCATGAACTCTAGTCTATGATTTTTAAGGTCCTCTTAGAATTTTTATCAAGACACAAATATTCTTTCTTCTTTCAGTTGGAGAGTACAGACCAGGGACCATCTTCAGTTACTGTGCTTATAAGAATATTTTAATACTCCATTTTTCTTAACCCTCCATATTTTTTACTTTTTTTATATTTGTAGATATTTCCATAATGTGAATTCTCAGAAACATACAGTTAAGCTATTTCTCTTCTTGTTTATATGTGTATGGAGGAAGTTTACAGTTCACTTTTCCCCAATGAAAACATAAGAAAGAGTCATATAAACACAAATAGAGGATATTATTTTACCTATTACAGCATAGGTTCCTGCAATTCACAAATGGTTAAGGACGCGACTGTTAACCAAACATGTTGACAGACTCCAACCAGAGCACCATGGAAGGCAGGCCTGGCAATCTTCCAAAAGATCATAGCCTTTAAAACCCTGTGGAGCAGGTTTCTGAACAAGTGAAGTTGGCATAACTTAGAATCAACTCAGTAGCAACTAACAACAATGCTGTTATGGAGTATAGTGGTTAGGAGCAGGGACTTTAGAGTCCTGGATCCAAATCTACTTATTCATCACTGTGATCTTGACCAAGTTCCTGTTCCTCAGTTTCCTCTAAAGTATGGTCCAAAATAGTACCTACCTCAAGGATTTTAAAGGTTTAAAGAAGTTATTTATGCAAGATTTTATTATTGTGCCCAGCTCATAAACGTTCTCAGTCTGGAACCCTTATTCACTGTTTTTGGGAGTGTAAAATGGTACAACCACTGTAGAAAGTGGTGTGGTGCTTTCTCAAAAAGTTGCAAATAGAGATACCCTTTGACCCAGCAATTCTAATACTGGGAATATACCCCAAAGAGACCATAACCGACATCCAAGCAGATACATGCACATCCATGTTTATCATGGCTTTGTTCACAATGGCAAGGAGTTGGAAACAACTTAAGTGTCCATAAACAAACGAATGGATAGAGAAGCTGTGGTATATTCACACAATGGAATACTACACTGCACTGATAAACAAGGAACTCATGCAATATTATTCAAAATGGGTGACCCTCGAGGACATTATGCTGAGTGAAAGATCTCAGTCACAAAAGGACAAACACTATATGGTGCCACTTTTGTAGATTGAGGCTGACATCAGGGTGGGGGTAAGACTGAGAAAAACTGGATAAATTATGTTTACTGCATTGAAGCTGATGAGAGAGAGAATAGTTTAAAAGTAATCTATTTTAGGGCATTATGATTATCATAAGAGTCCGGAATGAGGGTTGCAGAGAGGAGTATATTTAGGGTGGGGGTGGGGGTGAGGGTATGCGGGGGAATTGTGTACCTTTCCTTTTGCTTTTCAAGGAGAGGAGTGAACCTGGGGTGGGGGTAGGGTGGGCGGGGAGAAAAGTGCAACAATGAATGAATGGAAGTCCAAAATCTCTTTAGATGTTCATTGAAATTAATAAAAAAAAAAGTTCTCAGTCTGTGAATATCTATTATTACTATAATATGAAGTAGTCTTTTATATAGGACACTAGAGTGAGACATAATCTATTGTTGTTTTTCAACAGGTTCCAAGAATATTTGTCAATGGAACTTTTATTGGAGGTGCAACTGATACTCATAGACTTCACCAAGAAGGGAAATTACTTCCCCTAGTTCATCAGTGTTATTTAAAAAAAAGTAAGAGTAAAGAATTTCAGTAATGTGGGGCTCACAAATTTGCTCATAAAATATGTTGAAGTAATAATACCTGATAATGCTTTTTAAATATATGAAGATTTTTTCCCCAAAGATGTTTTAAATATATGAATTATCTCCACAAACAACATGGATGTAACTGAATAATGAACAATAAATTGCTAAAGCAACATCATCCTGTTTACCAATTGTTGAGCAAATGAGGTGATATTTAAGACTGAAAACAGGGTGATGTTAATTAGAAAATTGGTATTATTAATTTATATGTGTGAATTTTACAATCAGGAGCTAAGTGGCAGGTGAGGATTTGGATTTCCTTGCTTCAATAGTATACTTAAACTATTGTTGTTGTATACTGTCAAGCCAGAATTGACTCATAGCTAATCCCCTAGTAGGTTTCAGAGGCAGCTTGTTGGCTTGAACCAAATACTGTGTGATGGGTAGCACAATTTCTTACCACTAGGCTACCAGAGTTCCCTATGCCTAAGCTAAGAAGGGATATTTTTTAGCATTTTGTGACAAGTCTTCATGTTTTATATTCCAAGTAATAGAATTTTATTAAATTGGTCAAAGAGTGAAAACTATTTTAGAGAAATAAAATTAATCCTTTAATGACTTCAGTGTTCCAGGAAACTGTACCTATGTGCAGAAATTAAAAGGAGACATATTTCAGTACTATATGAAGATAAACTTATGAAATAGATCAGTGTGCATGTTGTGTTGTAAAATCTTTGTTAGAGAATGCTCAAGATTGTCAAGTTAGTTCTGACACATAGCCACCCTCTGTCAGGATTCTGAGGCTGTAAATTGCAACATGGACAGAGTGCCTGTCTTTCTTCCTGCTGGAGTCACTGGTAGATTCAAACAGCAGGAAATGCACCACTTTTGGTTACAAGTACAACTTGCTATTTATTAGACCACCAGGGCTCCCTTTATTAGAGAATGTTGTCATTGTTGTTGTTGTTGATTGCCATTGAGTCGAACACAACTCATAACGACCCAATGAACAAAAGGCCTAAAGCCTTTTTATAACTATCGTCATTTATCAGAGTTCATAGAGTTTCCAGAGGCATGTTGTTTAGGAAGTGGATACCATTCCTGCCTCCAAACTGGTAAAGCCTACAGCATGCGGTATTCCCACATGGTCTCCCATCTAAGTACTAACCAGGACCGACCCTGCTTAGCTTCCAAGATCAGATGAGATCAGGTGCATTAAAGGTGGAGAACAATAAAAGGTGTAATTGGGTGTCATCATTGTCAGTTGTATTAGCTATCAAGATGTATGAGCACTAACCAAGTGTTGCTGACAAGTCCTTGACTGGGACAAAACCATCTTTATGAACTGTTCCCTTAGATGCAAAGTAGGGGAATGAGTCATTGGTTCTTGATTATGCTGAGACCTTGAATAATTAAAAAATAAGGATAGAAACTATCACCAAAAAACTCAAAAGTCCAGACAAGGTAATATATCAATCACTTACAAGTTCTGGAGGCCTAGTGGATAAAAAATTGCACTGACAACCCAAAGGAAGGTGATTCAAATCTACCAGCTGCTCTAGGGATAAAGATGAGCAGTCTCTGGCAGTATACAACCCCTGAAAACTCTGGAGGGTCAGTTATGTGACCCAATGGCACATAATAACAACTGCATGGTTCTGTTAAATAAAAAAGAAGAAAATAACATCCTGTACTGTTTGCCTCTTGGTGTTCTGGACATGATGTAAAAACTCGAAATTCTTTGCTGTTGAGCTGACCTTCCGGCAAGTTTTCAGAGGCTGTAAATTGCACGGGAAGAGATTGCCCATCTTTCTCACTCTGAGCAACTGGTGCATTTGAATTTTCCACTTTTGGGTTGGTAGCACAACATCGTACCACTAGGCTGCCAGAGCTCCGAGAACATTATATTCAGTGACTGATAAAAAGTGTAAGGTTCTGCACTGTTTAAAAAAAAAAGTATTTATTCAAGCAAGATTCTTGACAAATTCTAAGGAGTGAACTCTGCTTAAGTGCTCAGCTGCTTTCTGAAAGACTGATGATTCCAAACCCACTTAAACTCCATGGGGGAAGGACCTAGTGATCTGCTCCTTCAAAGATTGCAGTTTAGACAGTCCTACAGGCATACTTTGGACATGTTGTAAGGAGGGACAGGTCCTTGGAGAGGGACATCATGCTTGGGAGGGTGGAGGGACAGCGCAGGAGGGGAAGAACCTCTGTGAGGTGGATTGATTCAGTGACTGGGATAATCGGGTTGGGTGTGTCAGAGGCAGTGCGATTGGCACGGGATAGAGCAGGGTTTAGGGCTGTTGTACATAGGGTCGCTATGAGTCGCAAACGACTCGACAGCACACAACAACAACAACAGGCATCACTGAGTTAAAATCAACTTGATAATTACTAACAGGATATGAAAGAAAGCACTAAAACTTGATCTCTTTTAAGACCATGTTAAGTATGTTAAACATGCCATATTAAGTATGGCAAATATATTTCATCAAAAATAAAAGTACTTCAAACGCCATCAAAGGGACTTCTGGTGGCCTAGTAGTAAGGAGCTGAGCTGCCAGTTCACCAGTCTCCATGGGAGAAAGATGAGTAATCAACTCCTGTGCAGTTTACTGTCTCTGAAAACCCACTGGAGGGTCATCTATGAGTTGGTTCCAATTTGATGGCACATAACACCACAGCTATGTCATTGTCAGTGCTTTTAAGTCAGAACAAACTCATGCCTGAACCTCGAGTGGGTTTTTGGTGGTCATAAATCTTACATTAGGAAATGGTCCATCTCTCCTCTGAAGAGCCACTGCTGGATTTGAGTTGTAGCCTTTTGGCTCTCAGCTCAGCTCTCTATGAACTGTGCCATTAGAGCTCATATAAAATCTTAGACAGTTTTATTTCTTAAATAGATGGTTAATTTGTTGGGGAAAATGGAAAAAGCCTTCACAGGACAATAAAAGAATGACAGAAACAATGATGTAGGCAGACAATTGCTGTGTTGGCATGCCAGTCTTGGATTGAGCTTTTTAGTTTTACTTTTTTATGCAGGAGTCTAGTTATGAGGTAAGAGGGAGGAGGGAAAGATTTGGAAAGTGGCCCACTAGGCTAACATGAAGCTTCTAAATCTTCAGTGGAAATGAATTAGGTGAAAACCAAACTCCTCCAAAAAGGAAATGGGATAGAAAATTTTCAGTCTTTAACCTGAGTAAAAGGGCAAAAAGCCCTCCGAGTGTTCATAATAAAAAGCAAGCCCTCATGTATTCTAGGACCTGAATTACACTGTTAGGTCTGAAATGAAAAATTTATTTTCATGTTGAACCAAGTTGACAATAACCCTAGAACTCTTGTAGAAACAAATCTCTAGAAGAATGCCCTTTTAGCCCAGCCTCAAGGAATTCTTAGATAGCATTCTAATACACTGACCTCTAAAAGAGAAAAGAAACATGGGAAAGCTATTCATGGATTTAAGCCACCAGAAAGTCACCACCTTTGGGTGCCCATTTAATATTAGACAAATATTTGAGCAATTTTAACCTTAGATTTTCTTGAGTTATTTTGGTAAAAATTTTTAAGCCTAGTTTCTTCACCTATGAAAAAATGGTTTGCTATGTCATTACAATTTGACTCTTTAAAAGAAGTCCATTGCTGCGGCTGTTGTTATGTGCCATTAAGTTGACTACAACTCTTAGCAACCCTATGAACAATGGCTTTGAATCTTGCTCGATCCGAACCACCCTCACCATCTCAGACATACCTTACCGCATTGCCACAGTCACTGTGTCAGTTGATCTTATCCAGGGTCTTCATCATTTGCGCTGACATTCTACCCTTTCAAGCATATTGTCCTTCTTCAAGGACTAGTCCTGCCTGGTGACCTGCCCAAAGCATGTGAGAAGGAGCTCCAAAATCCTTACCTCCAAGAAGCAACCAAGTTTCACTCTCTCTAGGACAGAACTGTTTGTTCTCTTGGCAGTCATGTTTCTTTCAGTACTGCTCAGCACCACAACTCAAAGGAATTGATTCTTCTTTTAGCAGCCTTGTTCATTGTCTTGTTCTTATAGTCCCCATTTCTGGAAACTGATGATTGGATTTCTGAGGGTATAAATCTTACCAGGAGGTGGTGATTTTAGGTGCTGTGAGTCCACCATGATTAATAGCGACCCTGTAAAGAGCAGACCTGAACCATGCCCTGTCCTGCTCCGTCCTCACCATCACTAATCTACTCGAGCCCATTGCTCCAACCATTGTGGCAATCCTTCTCACTGAAAGGATTCCTCTTCTTCACAAACCCTCCACCCTCTAAGCATGATATTGCTATCCAATGTCTGATCTCCCCTATTAGCATGCCCAAAGTCTGTGACACCGAGTTTTCATCATCCTTCCCTCTAAGGGGCACCTTTGCTGCATCTTCTCCAAAGCATATTTGTTTGCTCTTTTGACAGTCCATGCAATATTAAGTACTCTTCTCCAACACCACAGCTCAAAGACATCAATTATCGTTAGTCATTGCCGACTTTCAGATGCAAAAGACCATGGCTTGATTTAGACTTACCTTAGTCTTCAAACTGACATTGCTGTTCTTCAGTACCTTGAAGAGGTCCCTGATAGAAGACGTCCCCAACCCAATATGTCTTTTGATTTCTTGACTGCTGTTTCAAAGGATGTTGATTGTGAATCCAAGAAAGAGGAAACCATTAACCACTTTGATCTTCTTTCTATCTATCATGATGTCAATAGGCCCAGTGGTAAGGATTTTTGTTTTCTTTCTTTCTTTTTAAAACAAAAACAAACAAACAAACAACTTTAACGAAAGTTTACGGAGACTTTGGATTTCCATTCATACATCGTTGCACACTTTCTTTTCTTCCCAACCCACCCCTTCTCTCAGTTTGCTCTATTCCTTGAAGAGAAAGAAAAAAAAATCTTTCATTGTTATACAATACCTCTCCCGCAAGTCCACTTTACTATGCAGCTCTTATTCTGGACTCTTGTCATAAAAATAATACCTAAT